TTTTGAAATTGTGACGGATGGATAGCAAGCATGTCTAATACCCCAATGCCATCCCAAAATTATAAGAATATCATTGCAAAACCACCACTGAATGAGCTGCTCTTGATATTCTTAATAGTCATTTTTATTAACAGCACAGTCTTATTTCAGGGTCTGTGCTCTGTCCTGCCTCCACCATTTCTGTCCAATAGGAACAATGACCGTCACCTGCTTTGTTTAGAAATTATAGTCCACTTGCAAAAAGCAAAATGTGAATGCAAACTGGACCAAAGGAAAAAAACAAATAAATAAATAAAGTCTGCTATTTGGTCCAGACCAAACAAGTGGGCCAAAGGACTTTCCTTGTGTGAATACACCAAGGTCCAGTTGTTTGATCCGCACCAGAGTTCAGAACAATCATTCACAGGTAAAGGACTCGATCCCTTCCTGTTTGAACCTCTGAGGTGTTGCATAAAAATCATGATGGTTAAAATCTGTGTTAAAATTACTAAAAATTATGTCATAAAGTACATCAAAGTGATACTTGAGTAAAAGTACAAGTATCTTACCATAAAATTACTTTGGTAAAAGTTAAAGTCTCCTCTAAGAATATTACTTGCGTAAAAGTCTTAAAGCATCTAATATTTTTTGTACTTAAAGATCAAAAGTAAATTTCTGATATAAAATGTACTTATTATTAAAAGTAAAAGTATTGAGTAAAAATAAGCGGTTAGATTTTCCAACAGGACGTTTATTGAGAGGTGATCTCCCTAAAAACATTTTTCTAAAGGCTGAAATGACTATAATATCATATTAAAATATTAATTTTAAAAACTTTAAGATGCACTAGTCTACCCGGCTGCAGTATAAGAATGGTGTATATTTATACTTTTAACTCAATTCATTTTATCCAAGAGGCACAATTTATCTGGATACATTTTTTAACAATAACAATCCAGATTGAAATCAAGTCTCCAAAGGTTTCCGATAAGTTTTTGTTTTGGGAGGGGAAATGGTTGGTTGAGTCATATCGGTTTGATCATCATAGTGTTTCAACATGAAGACACTCAAACGAAGTTAGACTGAAATTAGGAAGTTTATTGACATGAATGACATTAGATTTTGGCGCTCGGACACCACCAGAGGATGTGAGCGCTGTGAGATGCTGTAAGCTCAGATGAGCTGCTTCAGATGAGGGGTAGGAGTTTTTTTCTTCCCCCTGGGGCCCGACACTGGTGGTGGAGGTCAAGGAGAGGGAAGTCCTTGGAAGCCAGAAGATGATGGGAGGAGGGGAGGTGGTAGGTTGACGTTCAGCTGGCGAGCAGGCGGTGCGATTAGAGAGGAAGCTTTTATCCACTGTCAGATGCTGATTGGATGAGGCTGGGCTTGTGACGCGGTGGCTGGATTGAGCAGGTGAGGTAGATTAGTCTTCCAGAGTTGAACTTTCGTCTAGACTCCATTAGTGACGCTGCTCAGCCAGGAGTCACCCATATCAGTGGTCTGGTTGTCCCCAGTAATGACTTTCTACTTCTTATCTTTATTTTTTTAATGTAAGAAATAGAAGTAAAAAGTCAGCTGAAAAACAATTACTCAAGTAAAGCACAGAAAACCAAAAATATCTACTTAAGTACAGCAGCAAAGTATTTGTTTTTAGTAACTCTGGGACTATACATCCCAGCAAGACACTAGAAACAGTTGCATATGTCAGGTTAGCTAATGACAAATTTAATTTAAAAACAACCAAAATAAACTGTATGACATAACTCTGTCATGTTGTATGAACTCTGGACAGTTAAAAGAAATAGAGCTTCATCACGTTTAATCAAAACAGTTTAGAAGTGATGGCAGTTTTTTATGTTTTCATTTGATGCATTGGATTGCGAGCTCTTAAACTTTAATACAAGTTCAATACAACAACCCAGCAGAAATCTTGTTTTATTGAAATCTTTAGCCTGTGTTTACTCTGACACTGAAGTTGTAATTAAACAATAACTCTGAGCCTGACTGAAGACAATCAATTACAGGCAGTAAAAATGAAACTAATGTTTTCTTACAGCTCTCAAAAACAACTGATCTATTATATGACTGGCTGAGTTGACACATCTGAGGTCTTTTTATAAGTTGCACAAAAAAACAGTTTTTACAGCTTAAATTATCAACTGTAAAACAGTGATGTCATATTAAAAACAGGTGATGCAGCGAAGCTTTGCTTCATCAATTAAAACAATATTTTACGGTACAGGTGAAATCACACCACCAGTACGGTGTACATTTTAGGACATCCTCAGTTTTACTTGTCAGTCATCAGTTGTCAGAAAAAAAGTTGTCAGGTTTACTTGTCAGTCATCAGTTGTCAGAAAAAAAGTT